TCATGGCCGACAGCTGACTGGAACAAGGTCCAAAAACAAAGTATTACATACCCAGCCACAGCGCTGTGCCTCACTTCCTCCCAGGGCAGGGGCTGGGACAGCCTCCCTCTGGTCACCCAAGTAGTCCACGTTCATGGCCGACAGCTGACTGGAACAAGGTCCAAAAACAAAGTATTACATACCCAGCCACAGTGCTGTGCCTCACTTCCTCCCAGGGCAGGGGCTGGGACAGCCTCCCTCTGGTCACCCAAGTAGTCCACGAAGGGGAACTTGGCTCCTGGAAGGGGCCACAGACCTGAGCTATCGCAGCCCCTGGAGCAGGTTCACTGCACACCCTCAGCTCGGGCCCCCAGGAGGCCACCCTGGAACCCCACCAAAGGCGGGGGCTGCAGACACGACTAGGCACAAGGCAAGTGCACCTGCAGCCTGCAACATAATTCACAGGCTCTGTCTACATGGAGACTGCTGACAACACAGTCACACTGAGAGAGTGAGACGTTTCACACCACGCGACCCAAGAATCAAGACAAAAAAGTTTATTTTGCTAACAAACTGAAACACAGACACATATGTTTTAGTTATAACACAGATTCAGATTCAACATCTTCAAGCATGGGCTCCATGCAGGCAGAAGCTGGTGCCGCCACCTGCAGCAGCTCATTCCAGGGTAGCCAACATCATCAGCCTCCATCAGAGGACACAGGTTCAGGGACCATCTGTTCAACCATGCATCCACTGAGAGCAAAGCAAGGAGGGCAGCCAGCTCCACCAGGCCCTCCACCGCACAGTCAGCAGACCATGCCTGCAGGACACACCCGGCGCCAGCTCACTCTGTAGATCCTTCTGGAACACGTCCACATCTACTCACTGACATGCTGTCTGGGGCTGCTTTTACGATTCGACCACCTAGTGCGGCAGTTTCAACAGAGACCCTGTGGTCCACGAAGCCAAGAAGACAGACTGCCCCAGAGCCCCTGCCTCACTCTGGCCCCAGGTGGCTCTTTACCTTCAGAGACAGCAAGGCTCTCCTCAAGGTGGACAGTGGTTAGGCAACTCCTTCGTGGACGGGGGGGACACGGGGCCCAGTGCAGGGCATGGAGACAGTCACAGGACATCCAAACCTTCTCACTCCACCTGTAAGCAGCCCCCAACCACGCTGCCCCACAGAGAGGAGCTGGCTATGCACACCTGATGTCCTATTGGTTGGTTTGTTTACAGCTTCACAAAGCTACCGGGTTTAGGATGTGACCAAAGCATATTCCACACTGTCACTGGCACTCAGCAGGCAATGCAGTGTCCTGATGGAAAAGCAGGTTTTGCTCTTCACCTCCTCTTCTTCCCACGTCTGTTCTGAGGTGGGCAGCCGAGTCAATCCACACAAGCCACAGCCCTGAATCCCTCTGTGGCAGAGACCCCCACCTGCAGTCCCCAGGGCCCCACCCAAAAGCCAGAGAAGAAGGAATGGCAAGAGACAGTCATGCCAAGGGGATTCCCCGGCACAATTTTTCATTGGAAACAAGTTATAAGAAAATTATTCCAAAAATATGGCCAGAGTGACAGCTTGGCAGTATTTCCAGCTCTTTGATTGAAACAGATTTATCCCCAAAATTGCCTTTGATTTGATACTGACAAGCTCCTATCATTATTAGACAGCGTGGGGCAGAGCCCTGTCCAGCAGCCTGGGGTGGACCTTGGGGTTCTAGGATGCAGCAGATGAGGGGAGGGGAGGAGGCTGCAGCCAGACCATGCACCTCCCGCTCCAGAAAGGCTGCCACTGCTCGGGCCAGCATAAACAGAGTCCCTGCAACGCAGTCCTTGCTCCTCTCGTGAGTGCACACCAGCCCAGGATGTGCTGTCTTCTGCCAAGTCTCTCAAATTCCTAAGACAGGGACCCCAGGTCCTTTTTTCAATTTCTGGAGAGGGCAGGTTACAACAACTTAAGCCTTTATCCTTGGGCTTGAAATCTGAGTTACTTGTGAAGAGATTTGTTTCATGGTGCTCACGTGAACTGAGTGCTCACCTTTCCTAAATGCATGGCAAGGGACAGCAGAGAGGACCCGGGAGCCAGCAAGGGCTCAGCCCAGCAGCCCCCTGGCTGGGTTCACCTCTGGAGGACGATCATCCAACTCTGCCAGCTGAAGGAACGAGAGTACATCTCCACAAGATGGTGGCATTCCTTGAGCCACTGGGTACTGTCAGCAAATGAGCCAGAGAAATGCACCTCTGGACACTCACAAGACATGCCCGGAGCACCTGCATGGTACCACGAGGTGAAGACAAGCCCTGGCCCTCGAAAAGCCCAGACCAGAGGGGAGAGTCCCAGTGGAAAGGCCAGAAGTAGTGCAAATGGGGAAGGGCAGGGCTCTTCAGGGAAGCTCCCTCGACTAGAAAAGGCCTGAGCTGCAGGTTCAGAGATGCGTGAGATTCAGGCCAAAGAGAGGCCAGTGCAAGTGGCAGCAGGGGAGACGGAGGTCGCTATGCTTTCGTTATCAAGCTCTCCCCGATCACTTGCCATTATTTTCCTCAGCATGTAATTTTTACCAACCCAGAGTCAGGACCCAAGTTTCACAATGATTTCTCTTTGCTGTAACTCTGCAACATCCCAGTGAGCGCAAGCCTGGGTTTGGGGTGGAAAGTCCTCTACCTGCTTGATTCTTGCACTATCCTAGACACATGCGTTTTGCCTGTTCGTCTATCCTCTTAAAATCTGCCAGAGTTTTTTTAGAATCCAAAAGTGATTCTTCTGCCCACGTTGCAGTTTCACTGTCAGGACACCTCTGTGGTGGTGACAGTGACACAGCAACATCGTATCTCTTTCCTGCAGACGGCTCCCGGGCAACTCCAGCTCCAGGCTGTTTTTGGACGTGGTCTGGGGTCCCTCCCAGCCCCCCACATAGTCCATTCTGCTGGTGGCCAGAGTGAGGCA